ATGCCAGCTGAATGTGAGTATCGTAGTGCTGTAAATTTGACACGTTTTTGTGACCAGTTTTATGATTGGTTGTGGTGGAATGTCGGCTTTCGTCAGGGTAATAATGAGTCCAACTGGTGTTTTCGGTATATTTTCCATCCACGGAATAATATCGTCAGCCATTATCGAAGCACAGACGCAAATTACGCGCGTTGTTTATAAACAGAAAGTAGTTCCAGGAAATAGACGCGTTTACCAAATATGGTAAACGGGGCCCGGGCGTGATATGGAAAATTATTGCACGGCTCGCGCATCGGGATTCCCATAGCGTTACGAGGCCGGGCAATACGAGGTATATGATAATGTGGTATATGATAAGGCGTCATATAACACAAGTCTGTGCTGAGACAGCGCTGCCTGTGACGACACAACGCAAACAATGAGGAGGGGCAAGGGGGATAGCTGGTACAGGTTACAGAAAATACAAACGACATTTTACGTTTTTACAGGAAATTAAATTATGGAACATGACAGGAGATCTCGCGTTATGCGTGAAATCGAAAGAAATAAAAAAACATTACAAACATAGGTCATAGCGTCGTAGTGGGTTCCGAACATCACGCGGGGTTCGTCAAACGCGAAAATATTTTGGGTATTTCCGCGCTGAATAATGTGCTATACACATATGATGATGATTTATTTCGATGAAGTTAGGGTATCTCAAGGCAATATCCCCTCTCATTACGATGAAGTTAGGGTATCTCAAGGCAATATCCCCTCTCATTACGACATTGAACTATGAAAAAAGAAACATAATTTTCAAAATCAAATCGTGCGGTCCGTGCCTTTCACGCAATATGCAAGATATCGTAGTGAAACTTAAAAGGATGGAAAAATCATTGCATTATGGGCGGCTTGAAGCCAATTTGAAGGTTTGTGCAGCATGTATGAACCCAGTAATAAATACACTAATTAACTAACACTAATTAACAAGTACAAACACAATTCATTGGTATTTTAATAATTAATAATCATATTTGTTTATTAATAGTGTACGTGATTTCACAGTAAGCATTCAAATTCGGAAAATAGACGTCATTCACTGGCAGTCTCGTTCTTAGTAGTTTGGTGCTGTAGTCAACTTAAAACGCCCGATTTACTACTCGTCCATGAATATGTCATATTTCGTTCGGTTAATAACGTTTTTTAATAGAATAAATATATTAGGACTATATTGACACTATTACAAGCATTTATTTTGTATTCAAGATAGAAACGCACATATTCACAGAAAAAAATAATTGATTATAATCTTCTTTTTTTTTAATATCTTCGGCTGCTTTTCGTTCCAGAGTATATGGATTCTAAATAGCAGCTCATAAAAGTTCACAATAGTTTTTTGTGCATTTCCCATAGCGTTACGAGGCCGGCCAATATAAGGTGTATGATATAACTATATAAAACTGTACATGCTGTTAGTATGTACTGGTTGTACATACCATATAACGAACATTTTATTGTGCTCTGCTTTACCGAGTGACGTGCGTAAATAAACGTACAGTGCCGTGATGATATGGATTGTTGGTGAACACAGACCAATGCATATATGCATAGGATTTTACAGATGAGTTTTCCCCTTTCGTTGCTAATGAACACTAACACAAACCCGCGTGCGAGTGTACAGGAACGCAGTAGGGCACGTGATGGTTGGTGCACAGTAATAAACCGTCTCAAATGTCTCAATGCATTAAATCGTGAACACAAATTAGTATATAAGATGGGGACGATGAGGTTTCTCATTTTCGTATTTGCGATGTTCAGCAGCACATGGCTAATATCCAAAAGTCCTATGGATTGAGACAGAAACTTCACTCACACTTGATGCGAAGAAAAACGTGCATATTGCAGTCAAGCTATGTATATCCTCGGGGCGGACATCCGGGCATTTTTTCGGCCTGGCAACCATCGCGGTGAAAACAAAGGCCAAAAACTCGAAGAAAACGGTACTTTGGGATGGTTGTTGAGACTCCCCTGAACAGTGTAACAAGATTGGCCCTACGTAACATATACAAATTTGGTTGTTTACTTCAAAGTTGAGGTTGTATTGTTTTTTCAAATTTTCACCGGCTCGACCGGCGTGGCGTTGTGTCGTCACAGGAAGCGGTGTTCCAGCACATACCTGTGTCATCGAACTCCGCACAGTTCGATACGCGTTACTTATCATATTGCGAAAAGCGCAAAGGCCTCTTGGAAGGAGATTGGCGTCAGATCAGTGTTGAAAGGACGCTGACCCTGCGCTGACCTGCAGCGTCAACGAATGCTTGGTACTGTGGTGCGCGTCTTAGCAACGTGGAACGTCTTGTTGCGTAGTTCCGCCCCGAGGTAAATCCCTGAATAATGGAAACTACTTTAGCAACAAATGTTGTTACCGACACTAGATGGGATGGAACAGCTCAAGTAAAGAGGCGCATGTTACTAAGAGCATAATCTCGGGTCGCATTTAAATTTACAGCACTAGTTTGTTGAAAAGCACCTTTCCTATAAATTGCGCCCTCTAGCGATGAAGTGATTCTGTACGACTTATGAATTAACGAGGTTGGAAAATTGAAATTTTGTGAAAACCGACAACTGTGTTCGGCTGACAATTAGAATTTTGTATTGACGGACGGATGCAAATTAAAATTATAAATTGACACTGAACGGCTTTCCTTACAACAATTTAGCGCTTCGTCGTTAGAGGGCGCGATCTACACAACGCGATCACTTCAAAAACTCGATGAGGGACTGTGATGAGGCGAAGCGGTTTAATTTAAACAAATTAACTGTAAGTTCACAATGATCAAAACACAACGTTTTATGTTTGGCTTCATTGTTACTAAAACTATTCTAATCTCAGTGAAAAATACATTTTGTATTTATTTATAAGAAAAGTTTTATAATTATTAGAAAAAAACACTGAGATAAAACACTGTTTGTGACCTTTGAGGATAAAATATAATACATCAAATAAAATAACACATTTGCTATATTCTTTTAATTTGTTACTGAAATAATACTACAAATGCTTTTTCAACTTGTGGTAATTATTTACATGCAAATTGAAGATTTTGAATTACAGTTACCTA